AGACACCCGCAGCGCCACACACACAGCCACACCCTGCCGCCGTGTTTTCCTTTTTTGCTTTTCGTGTTCATTTCACGCGCTGGCAGTTCTGTCAGCATTTCTCTTCCTTCTGATGATTTTTCTTTTGCTGCGCTCACTCTCCCGATGGAGTGACGCGACTCCCGTCATGTCTGCGTGCTTCTCTCAGTCCCCACACACACGAGTGACTGTGCTCTGCGGGCCGCACTCGCACGCCGATGAGAGGGCTGAGGGGAGCAGCAACACGCAGATGACCCCATGAAATATAAACGATGTGCGGACACATGGAGGGTCAGACGGTTGAAACACACGCAACCATCTTTTCGATTTTCTTTTCCGGGCAAAATATATACAGACGGTTTGGTGCGGCCACACGGCAGCCAGGCGATTTTTAAATTTGTGTGGAACAGTAATGGACGATATCTTTTTTATTTATAATTATTTTGTGTAATGAGGTTTATATAAGACGAAGGGGATGGTTTTCTTTTTAAATAAATCTTGTGTGAATTGCCGCTGCTTGGGCTGCAGTGCGGTCATGAGTTTGAGCGGTCTTCTTCTTGTTGTTTCCGCCATGCGTCTCTGCTGCACATTTTTGTTGTGCGTCTCTCCACATACTCTGCTCCCTCTTTTCTACTTCTTTGCTTTGTGTTTCTGCAGACACACACAACCACACACAAGATGCACATTGCAGTGGATTTGAATGCTCCTTTTGTAGTGCATGCTGGCAGTTGCGTGTGGCGGCTGTTGTCCTCTTCCGTGGCTATGAGAAGAAGGGAGGAGGAGAGTGAGTGCGCAGCCCGAGTCTCTTTTCCTGCGGGTGTGGTGCACCGCTTGTGCCTTCGTTGCGTGGATGCCGTCTCGTGGTGTGTGAACTGTGCGGCTGGGCCTGCTGCCCTCTCCTCATGTTGTCTGCTCTCTCTCGCTGTATCCGCTGCACTTCGTCCCTCTCCCTTCTGTTCCATTCCTTTTCCTTCTGGCTCACGGATCAGCTGACTGACTCCAGCGACTCCACTACAATTGACGATGACTGCGATGGTGACGATGGTGACGGTGCGGCTCCGTGTGGTGCGCGCCGTGCAGTTCATTGCGCTCTCGTGCTGCTGCTGCCCGTCCGTGTGCGTGACAGCAGGTGAAGAAGGTGTTGCAAGCCCCAGTCCACTTCTTCCTGTGCCAAGGAAACAAACTGAGGATGGCCCAAAGAATGCAGGCAAAAATAAAGTTAACGATAATGAAGACTCCAGTCTATCGTCTTTTGTTTCCTGAAGGAATAGGTGCGACAATTACGCATGACTGATCCACTGAGTCTGGCACGAGAGACGGAACACGTTTGAAGGACGAAACTTAACAGGTGGAAGATGCGAAGAACAAAACGGATCAGTCATCAAGTGATTCCATTACGGTGCACGAAGAGACCGTTTCCAGGAAGGAACAGCAAACAAGTGGACACGGTTTACCGCCCTCTCCACCAACGGAAGTAAGTACGAATCATGATACGACAAAAGCAACAGGTCCATTAGGCATGCCAGGAGGAACAACTCTCCCTGTTGCTGCGCCTGCACTAAGTAAGAACTCCCCTGCGTTGAGGGGAAAAGATACTGCAAGTGCGGGAAAGACACCACGTAATTCCGAGACAAAAATGGAACCAACTATGAAGCTGCTGTGCCAGAGAACTCAATTGAGGAACAGACATCAAATACGATGCCTACCACGATGGGAGCCGCTGCGACAGAGGCGTCAACCACGACGACCATCCGCGCACCGTCACGTCTCCGCGAAAGCGACGGCAGTTTCAGCAGCTCTGCGTGGGTGTGTGCACCGCTGTGGGCTGAAAGGGAGCGCGGGCTGTGCGTGCCAGCACTCAGCCACGGGGACATGTGTACGTCTACTGTGGTCCGATGTATGAAGTAAGAGTAATTATGATGATCGTTTTGCTTTGTTTGCTTCCGCTGCCCTGCTGTGTGCTCCGCGTTGCTTCCCACATTCGTCACGTTGAACGCATCCCAGACACAATTGTATGCACGAGACGCGTACAATTTTTTGCGTGGACGCACTGTTGAGGATAGGTGCATGCGCACTGGAGTCAATTGGGCGCATTTTTTTGTATTTTTACATTTTTTACTGTTTTGCTTTATTGCTGCTTGATTACTTTTGTTTGGGTTTTAATTGTTTTGTGTTTTTGCTGTTTACTTGCTGCGGGGCGTTGTGTGTTTTTGCCCTTTCACTGATTTCAACTGCCTCATGGTGTGTGCGCGCTGCTGCTTCTGGGCTGCTGCCATTTGTGACTGTGCGGTGCGTGGCTGTGTGACTTTTCTCTCCTTTTTGCTCTGCGTTGACGGGGAGTTAGTTTGTGCTGAAGGCTGCACGCAAGTGACAGGAGTGATGGCGATGATGATGACTGGCCGTGTGCTGCTGGTGTGTGCCCTCTGCGTGCTGTGGTGCGGTGCCGGCGGAGGTTGTGAAGAAGTGCCCGGAGTATCTACCTCTGGTGTGTCCGGTGATATTGAGAGGGAGGGAGGAGATTCACAGGATTCATCACGTTCTGAACCGCCAGGACCAAAAAAACCAGCCCCAGAAACACCAGCACCAAAAGTTCAACAACAAGAAGTTATCTCACCACCTCCCAAAGACCCTCCAGCAGAAACCGAGGACGGTGCTGGTGGTGATGAGGAAGGAAAAGCAAGAGAAGAAGGTGCTAAGGATGCTGGAAAAGAAAATAGGGGTGGTGCAACAAGTAAAGAGGTAAAAAAGCCTGAAAACCACCTGACATCAGTGAAGGACCCGCAGTCGCGTGACAATGAGGGCTTACAGTCACCATCATTGAATGGAACTCATGGAGTTGGAACGATAACAACATCATTAAGTGGCAGTTTGACAGTTAATACAAATCAACAAGATTTGTCGAGTCCTTTGCAGCCTCCATTACCGAACAGCTCACCGCATGCAATTCCATCATCCACATCTGCAGCTGGCCCTGATAACGAGAAACGCCACGAAAACGTCAATGGCACGAAGAATTCTCAACTGCCTGTGGTAGGAGACATTCAAGAGAAGAATGGCACTGGCGTGAAAGCTGTCGCTTCAACGGGTGGAGGGGAAGATCCACGATTAACAGTCACGACACTTGAAGAAATGGGTGATGCGACAAAGAAAGGCGACAGCAACAGCAGTACCGCGGCAACCGCGGCCCTGCGGTCTGAAACTGGCACAGAAGGCATTCCAACCACCAATCATCCGAACCGACCCTCCACTGAAGGCGCCACATCACCCGAAAAGACTTCCGATGGTGAAGCTGCATCAGCCAACAAATACGATACGGTCCCTCAGAGTGCAGGATCCACAACAGCGCCAACCACAAACGCCAAAACAGGTGAAACGACACCTGTCGACAGTGACGGCAGCACCGCGGTCTCCCACACCACCTCCCCTCTTTTGCTTCTTGTTGTTGCGGCTGCTGCTTCGGTGGTGACCGCGTGAGAGTGAGGGAGAGAGAGCCGTGCACCGCCCGCACACACACTCGTCCTTCTCTTTCTGTGTGTGTGTGTCCCCTTGCATGGACTCTCGCCCTCACCTCACCCCACGAAGCACACACATAATGTGCCCATTGTATATATGCATGCACACCCATGCAGGCCCGTTGGTGCTCTCTTTTGCACGACACGCACCGCTGCCGTCCTGCCTGGCTGCATGGGCGGAGCACCGTAACTGTTTCTGTTTTGTTTTTATTGCATTGAGTGGGCGACCTCTCTCTCTCTCCCTGTGTGTGTGTGTTTTGCTTTACGGGAGCAATGAGAGTGTGTGCGCTGGTCGTCCCACGCTTCTTCTTTTTGTTTTATTGTTTTTCATTGTGTTGTGGTTGAGCGCACCCATTCCGCGGGCTGCTTGTGTGTGGGACGATATGAGTAATTTGCGTGTGTGCTATCCGCTTCTTTCTGCCGTTGCTTTCTTTGCACTCTCTTGTGGCGCACAGCTGCTTTGCAATTATAGGCGCTGACAAACACACGGACACATGCGCAGAATCTCCTTGTTGCACATGTTGTGGAGTGGCGTGAACGCTGTGGACGCACGCACAAGATTGTGGCTGTGGCGGCTCTTACGAGTTAGGAGATCGTGAGTCCGCAATGCGTTTCGGCGATGTGTTGCGGGCGTGATGCTGGCGGCGTGCTGTCAGTGAGTGTTGTGGCATTTCGGGTGCCTGTGACGAGTGTCTATTGACTCTCTCCCAACAGCTGTTCCTGCCGACGTGTCTCTCCCGTTGTTGATTTGGCGACGGAGGATCCTCCGGCCGTGTGGAATGATGTGCGGGTGCGTTGGAAGAGACAACAGCAATACGACTGGCGGCAGCGCGTGGGTGTTGCGAGGGCGGTTGTGCTTTTTTGCATTCCGCCGGTTGTATTGTGTGTGAGCTTTGTTCAATTTGTTTTGACGCGTTACGAATAACGACACACCCGCCGTGACTCCTGCTGCTGCTGGTGGTGGCAGTCGCTGTGTGTTCCCGGTGAACTGTTCCTCCGTCTCGTTCCGTGTGTCTGTGTGCGTGAGTTGTTGTTGTTGGGAGTGACTGCGGCGGGGATGATGGTGCCACTCACTGTGGATGGGTGAGGGTGTTCACTCTTGTGCTTCTTTTGTGGGCATTTTTTCTCTTTCTCTCTTACGAAGAAAGAAAACAAGCGCTAATCGCCACTGTGAAATTCGAAGGCACTGAAAGGACCAACAACACACACACCGCCCACACACACATATTTACATGCTCTCACGTGTTGCTGCAGTGAAGGCACCCCGCACACACAACCGTCACCGCGTGACCGGATCCAGCGGAAGGAGGAGGGAAGGGAGAGAGAGTGAGCCGCAGAGGCCCAACATATCCCGGCATCACTTTTATTCAGCGGTGCTGCTCCTCCTCCTCGTGATGATGTGCTGCAACGCTGGTGGGGCTGCGGCTGCTGAGGAACCAAGTCAGGGAGCTTCGTCGGGAAAATATTATGTTTGGAGAGACGTGAAAGATGGAGAAGAAACAGTGAGTTCGTTACGTGTTCCCAGTCTTTTGAAAGTGGGGAGTGATGTGTTTGCCGTTGCCGAGGCGCATTGCAC